AATCTTTGTTTGTAAGAACTATTTATAATAATTGTTACTATAAATTGTATTGTTGTGTGTATATTAAAACGTATTTGTGTTAAAAACGAAGACGGTGTGTATCAATCCTGTTGACAAATATCGTAAATGGACTAAAATATCGGCATATATTTAAATACTAAATCCAAAGTGCAATTTAACTACTAAATTTAAATTATCAGTTAACTCGGCTTCGGACTACTTGAATTTCTAATACGTAACACCCTCAAACATTTGTTTGTCGATTTACAAATTTATTTATAACCATGTGTGGAATCCCTTTATTTTTTTCTATTTTCCCAATGTAAATTTTGAAAATTATGTACTTGTTTTATTGTTTATAGTACTAGTGTTCTCTTCTTTAATTTATGAGCTAGAACTGGAATAATGTGTTGAAATTTGTGTTATTCAGAACCACCTGGCCCAATTCATAACTCTCCAATTTGTGTAATGAGGAATAACCAACCCACCCTTAAAGCAGGTAACTTTGTGTTTACTGTTGTCGTTATTGTTTCATAATATACTAATAAGTTGTAGACGCAGTTATGTTCTTTCAAGTTTTTCAATATAATTTAAGAGGGAGAATTTTGAAACTTAAAATAATGATTTCTCAAATTTAACCTTCACATGTTTATTGTTTCTCTTTTTATAAGTGTTAATTAGTGTAAATATCAAAACTAAATTCTGTCTGAATAAATCTTCCTAAACTTTTCTTGCACTTTTTTTAACACAGATGTTTTAATATTTAAAATGTTATTAATTTCATGCTGTATGAACTGATATACTTTCAGGTTCGGACTATGGTTCCCTGTCAGAAGAGATGTGGAGATTTCTTTTGAGCACATATGGTGGAGGTCCTGAGATCATCCTCCAACAGAATATTCTCACCATGCCAACAGCAGCAGCTCCTGTCGTTTCCCGATCTGTAGGTTCAGGCTCAATGACAGGAGTATATAGTTCCCCCTCTCTTTCGACAAAAGTAACCATATCTAGTCAAGTGGCTTATACAGGATCATCTCCCTCTCTGAATACGCCGCTAGCCACTGTCCGGCTCTCGGGTAGGTATTTTTTGTTCTTCCCATGCAAAGTGATCTCATATAAAAGGTTCATCCTAAACACTACCTGCTGGGTAGTTAATCAGTGATTTATGGGATTTATTTTCAAAGCAACACAAGATCAGCTTTCCTCTAAATCTTTCTGACCACTGCTAACACTTGTGATCTTCATTTTAACTAGGGTGACAACATCTAGGCTGAAAAATGAATAGTGACTTTAAAAAGTTTGTTTTTTAAATAGACAATGTTGCCTTAGGATAAACCTGGGGATAATATTTGGGTGAAATTTCTGTACTTTTTTTTTTAAATCCATTCTAAAGATTCCAGCTAAGGACTTAATAGAGGTGTTTTAGTTTTTTCTTTCATCACTGAATTGTGAATTTTGACAAGGAAGAAGTGTTAAGCCCAGTCTGTCATTTGATTTGCTGCTATCACTGAATTAGTCCAGTTTTAAAGAATTCCAATTGAAAAACAAAACAGATTTTTTGTAGTGGTAGTCATGTAAATAGGAAGAATAAAACAAATTGTTGTATGAAATATATAAACCTATTAAGGTAGGGTTTGTAGTTCTATTTAAGATCGTTTAGTTTTATTTAATTTCTTTTGTAAGAGCAGAGGTTGGGAGTTTCACATAGTAGAAATTTTAGGATGGTTTCATTTCTACTTCAGGAACTATAAGAATTCTTAAGGATAACTGCCTTCCCGCAACTGGCTGGCTTGTTTATCATCGGTGTTTGTATTTTGTCTGATAGATGGGATATCCCCAACACACTTGGTAGCTATTACCACTTGTATTATCTGTTATGACTTTAAGGAGACGACTAGGGCTGACAGTGGGAACTCTACCAAAATCTCTTTAATGCTTATTTTATATTAAATATATAAATTAGGTACCATGATATTAGGCTTAAAGTTCAACCTCTAAGTGTCTCATCTGTTACATTATCAGATTTAACATTTTCCTGGCTGAATAAAAAAGTTTATAAAAGAAAAAGATGACCTATAATGTGCGTATATATCTATTGGTGAGAAGGTGAGTAGAGAGGAATAAACTACAGGAAAGCTGTTTTTGATGCTAATTAGATGTCCTGATAACATTTTAGTTGAATAACCAAATCCACATTTCGGTATTGTGTGTACTGAATTATGTATTGTCTAGTTTTTCCCATATTTGCATAGACACTAATCAGGTGTTTGTGTCTAAAATCTTTAAAAGACATTGTTTTGCACAGAGTATAATACAATATCTATTATATAGAACCCTTGATGATGCTAACACCATTGAATCAGTTATTAGTTTCAAATTAAAATAATTGTTTTTTTCAACAATTTCAGTTTCTTTTATCTTCAGTCAGCCTTTACCCTTGTCTACTGACCTTTCTGGCAAAAGTGTTTAGTAATTAACTATTGAAATTCCTGAGGATACATCTGATAGTGAAAAGATTGATTTTTTTTAATTTACACTTTAGAAATAATTCAGTAAAACCATGTTTCAGTTGTGTTTATTTCATATTGTCACTTTTTAATTAAAATTATGTGTTTGAGTATGTAAGCTTTTTTGTTAAGTCCTTTAAAGATTTAAATTAAGTATGCAGTTTTAGCTTACTTTACTAAACAAAATTTTGTTCTTTACTTCATAACAGGCAAAAGGAAAACAATAAGTAACGTTTCACTTGTTACACAAGATGGTGTGGATACAGAAACGGAAAAAGTCGAAGAAACTGAAAATGTTTAATGTAGGAATAGTATAAAGATTTCACTTTAAATTTAATTTTTTAACTTAAATTATTCCCTAATTAATTTATTTATTTCAAATCCTAAAAATTTGGGGGAGGTTGAACTGTCAAAATAATATTGTAAGATGTAACACAGAGACAAAAGTAATTTTCAAAATGCTTACTACATTATTCAGGTTAAAGCAAACCATTAAAATGTAAGTCTTCACCTAAACTAAACAGATATAGATTGTGTTGAAAATGTTAATGACTGTCACATTTTTTGTGGGTAAAATAAGTTAATAATTCAACTTAGGTTGTTTGACAGTATTAATTCTCAACAAATTAGTCTTCAAGTTAATCAATTAAACCTGTTTAAGTGTCTAACCTGTCACATGATAGTCATTGTTATGTTGAACATTTTTCTTAATGTTTCTTTTAAATTTTAAAATTACTGTATAAACTTACTAAAACTGTTTTACAGAAAAATGTCCTTAAGAAATGTTATTGTATTTCTATTGTTGCTATATTTATAATGTTCAAAATTATCCATTAAACAAGACTTCTTTACAGTAAAGATCTTAATGAGAATTGTTGTTAGCATTTTAATATGTGTCGCTACAAAATGAAGAATATTTTAAATACATTAAGTATTCTGTTAGCTTGTTGATACGTTTTTGATCATAATGTAAATATGTTTTTTCCATAGTTGTATACTCTTCTACCATAAAAGATGTGTTTTTCAGGCATGTTTTTTCTTTCATTCTCAACTTTATGACTGTTTGCTTTCCTTTTTGAATTAGAAAGCATGATAATTAATCACTGTTGTGTGTAACACACCATAAACCACATAAATTCATGTTAGTGTGATAAGAATTACATCTAACGCTATAAATCTATCAATAGATTTTTAGAATGTTTATTAATATCATAAAAGTGTGATCATTAATGTTTAACATTGGGAATTGTCATATGGAACCATATACAGAATTGTAGAGTGTGAATACAACTTGTTGCTGATCAAGTTGTAATTGGTATTAGTAGATAAGGATGAACTTGTACTTTATTAAATTTGAGTTAAAATTATATATTCTTATGGCCTCCAGATCCTTTTCATTAAAATCAAAAACTATTTTATTTTGCCATGAAGTGAATTTGAATTGGTAAATATGCCTTTTGATGAAAGTCTTAATATTCCAGAACTACTAAAATAATTTAACCTACAGAAATAGCATATTGGGCATGTTTTTAGTAAAAAACGTTAATAATAGATACACACGTTCAAGTGACCTTCAAGCTCTATTTAATTATCATCAGAAACTTTCCTTTTGGCATCAAGTGTCTGTTTATTGATAGCTAAGCTTTTTTAGTTAATATAATTTAACATATAACGATGGTATATTAGATGCCATAGAAACTAAAAGCCCATTTAATTGTAACTAAGACATAAATTGGACTTCTTAAATGCATTATTCACACAAAATTATTATAGCATATGTTCATCATCATTACCTTTGATCAAAAATAGCATTCTATTGCTACAGTGTTTTGTTTTACTGTTACAACAGCATTAATTTCTGGGATATGTCCTCACTACTCCTGCACTACCCTGAAAGTAGTTTTAAAATGTTCACTTTTGTGTTGTGTCTTATTATTAATTTGTTTCTGTTGGCCAGTATGAACCTACCAGTGTAATTCAAGTATATTCAGGATGTTTTACTAGAAGGCCTAAGTCCAACTTAATATTTTTTATCTGCCATTCTTGTTTTCAGACTTTATACAGTGGAAATGTTTCACACTAGATGTTAGTCATTTAGAACTGGCCCGGCATGGCCAGGTGGTTAAGGCACTCGACTCGCAATCTGAGGGTCGCGGGTTCGAATCCCTGTCACACTAAACATGCTCGCCCTTTTAGCCGTGGGGG